GGTTTATAATGTTTGTTGTATTTGTTATCTTGTGATGAGAGACATGTTGTGGTTTATAATGTTTGTTGTATTTGTTATCTTGTGATGAGAGACATGTTGTGGTTTATAATGTTTGTTGTATTTGTTTGTTATCTTGTGATGAGAGACATGTTGTAGTTTTTAATGTTTGTTGTATTTGTTTGTTATCTTGTGATGAGAGACATGTTGTAGTTTTTAATGTTTGTTGTATTTGTTTGTTATCTTGTGACGAGAGACATTTCTCTACAACAGTTGCTCTTTGTTACAATTATAACTCTTTTTAGGGAATCATTAACGTTCTTTATGTCTTGTTTAGTAAAGTACAATTTAAGCCCACAAATATCTGTTGTTCGAAATGTTTAATATTAGTTATCGTATTTGAGAAAGACAAGAGTTAACCTGTCAATGGTAATAAATGATATAAAAGTTCGTATTAGAACAATAAATAATGTGGACTGTTTTTTCCCTAACCAGCAATATCTCTTTACAGTAGATTTATCAATTTTTAATTAAGATTGAATCTTGTTTCTAATCAACTCGTGGCTAGCATCATTGAAAACAAAATATTTCTTATCTTCTAGGTTGTGAACTGGACGAAGGCAACTATTCTTTATTCTGTCCTAAACACAAGGTAAAAATCAACATGTTCTAGCTGTAACTTTTGACCTTATGTAGTGAGGAAATCTTAATATATCTGTAGAGTAATAATAATACTCACCTTTATAAGTAATGAAATCAGAAAAATTGAAAAGTATAAACTTGTTACAGCTTCATAATTTTTAATGTTTTGGTTTCTGAAAGAATACCTGTTGATTCTGTACAGTAAGTTTTACAAATGCTAATTTCATATGGCCAAAATTTTAAACAATATTTTTTTTTCCAGAACAAAACTGAGATGCCAGGAGAAAGTTAAACCTTAGGAGACTATGCCTGGGTGCTACAACCAACAGGCAAATCTGTGTGTCATGTAACAGTATGTTACAGGATCAGTGTTGTGTTTATGTGTTTGCCAGTCCTATGGACAGACAGGCATGCCAAGTGGTCAATATTAACTTGATATGGCTGGTGGTCAATTTGTGTTTGTGTTTTTTTTGTGCAGGCCAGAAACTGTACATCCAAAAGAGAGTGTCTGACCAGCTGAACTTTTGGAGAACTAGAAGAAGTCATATCATATGCTCTGACTTCCAGGAACTGGGAATAGAAAGTAGAATCTCATGCTTTTAAATGTGAGTCTTGAAAATCTGCTCTGCAGTTTTACCAACAGTTGTGAATCTGCTGATAAAGAACATCTAAACTGTACTACAGAAGATATGTTTTTAACAGAATATTTGGATCTTCTATTTTGTGCATTTACTAACAACCACAGGATGTAGAGTATAGGGATGCTTTTTTTCCCTTTGACAACTACTGAGGGTGGAGTAAGGATACCCTTTGACCATGACACATTAACCATAATGTTTGCATTTACTGACA